ATGCCATTTAACGAAGAAAAATCAACCCAAAAAATGAGTTCGCGTGTCAGAGGTTCGCCATCACTGACATACACACAGGTCACACACTATATAGAAGGAATCAAAATGGCTTCAAACTCCTCAAAAGCAATTTGGAAGCTAAATATCAACGGAACAAAATTATAAAATAACACAATTTCCCATCTGGTATTCTTTACCTAACCAAAGAATCAAATAAGTGTTAGAGTAAACTAAAGCGATTTTAAAACATGAAGTAAACCAAAAATAAACATGACATGGGTCACTGGAAAAATAGAGATCCAACCACAGAAGAAAATGAAGAGAATCCCACGATAAAAGTTGGGTACCAAGTCTAGAGGGTGATCAGTCCATAACGGAGGTCAGAGGGATTTGAGAGACTTCCTCAGGAAGGTAAAACTGATAACAACACCTGATATGTCCGAACATCTTGAAAGACATCTGATGGAAAGTTGAACTAGTCATAACTATTGATATACAGATATGTAACTAAGAATTCCTTATCAACTCTTTAGTCTCCTACACTTAAGTACAAGCAGACAACCAAGAATTACTGGACACCTAATAAAAGGCTCTATCATAAAAGGTGAAGCCCAAAACATACAAAAATGGGCAAAAGGCACTTGAAGGAAACAGATTATGCTGATACAGGAAAACTTGGTGGTGAGGGGAGGGGGGAAAGACTCACAAACAGTTCTATATGCTAAAGAGTATATAGAAATATATATACTACATATACTAGTATACTATATTTATTAGACAGCTGGGGTGGGATGAAAGAAGGCAGGCAAGTTCAGGACATTGTACAGGATAGGAAAAGTAATCATGTTTTACAAGAATACTGAATAATCAACAGTGATATAATATCATAACTATTAAGAGGAAGGAATACTGCTAAGTACATGATGACAACAAAGTTAAATCTTCATTTTCTACCCAAGAAGCTAATAAGACCAAAAACAAAAGAACTATTTTATTTAACACACTAGAGGCCCGGTGCACGAAATTCATGCACGGATAGGGTCCCTAGGCCTGGCCTGTGATGAGGGCCAATCATGTTCCCCACCCCCGCCACCTCCCTACCTCCTCCTTCTCTGGCTCCCTCAGCACCCTGCCGCTGGTTGCCTGCCATGTTCCGCGCCACCCCCTGGTGGTCAGCGCACATCATAGCGAGCGACTGAACTCCCATTCTCCTGGTCAAACTCCCTAGGGGACACTGCATATTAGCCTTTTATATATATAGATTATATATATAGATACTTATGTAGGGCATATGAGTTAGACAGAGTTCTAAGGGCTTTCCAAATTCCTTTAATTCTTATAACAAACCTACGAATTAGGTACAACTAATCCCTATTTTTTAAAATGAGTAAATTGAGACACAGAGTTTAAGTAGTCCAACATTACATAAAACTAGTAATTGACAAACCTAAGCAGTCTAATTCCAGAGTCCATGCTTGTAACCAATACAAGTTATTTGGAGACTACAAGGTATTATCACAATAATAACTTATAAAAGGTGAAAGTGATTGCTTCTGGAAAAGGGAAAATGGAAAGGAAGGGGGCAGGAAGTTTTTGTTTTGATAACCATGTAAATTATTTGACTCTTTGTGTAGGTACACCCTAAATAAAATTAAAACTTGTAATTTAGTATTTCACAGTTAATGTATTTAGCTGATGCTACCATCCTCAAAAATAGGCAAAATGAATATAACTCTTATTTTATAGGTAATTCTCATTTCTCTTTAATAAATATTTGAGGGCCTACCGTATAACAGGCACTATATTTATAAGGTCAGTATCAATTCACCTCAATGAATGGTAAGGTAAAAGAGGTACAAAAAGCAAATCTTATTCATTTCTTTGTGTTAAAAAGGTAAGTTCATGATATGATCCTGCATCTCTGACATATGACAGAATAAAATTTAAATCATGATAGAAAAGGCATAGAAAGGTCTGCTCATTAATTAATTCAAAAAATATTTAGTTCTTGCCCTTGAGGAACTCAGTCTTATGGGAAAGATGAGTAAACATAAATTGAATGTGTGTAGTGCCTATACAGAAAAACACCAAAAAGTGCTAAGGAAACAACATTCCTTGGGTGAAGAGAATGCTTCAGAGGGAACATCTGAGCTGTCTTGAAGAATGAATAGAAGTTTGAATAATTTCACATTAAGAGACTGTACTAATAATCAGAAAACACAAAAAATTATATATCAGTGTCAAATACCTCTATCTTTCCCTGTGTTAAAAAGGTAAGTTCATGCTAAAGACTAAAATAAGAAATTAAGACCTTTTAATGAGAATGACTTTTTAAAAACAAGATATGTAATCTTACTGTCTGATCCATGTTTCTAATGTTTATAGTCTCTCCTAGAGACCAAAAAGCATTTCCACATGTCTAATAAACATTTTAAAATTTAAAGTATTAAGAGTGTTATTTCAAAAGATTACTACAGAATAACTACCCTTGATTTATCCTACATCCAAAAGTTTAACATGTTTTTAAGTCATAATATTTAAATTATAATGTACCCCTTTCTCCCATGACAGACAAACAGGTGACCAAGCCCTGAATATGCAAGTGACAGAAACTAATGAGAAGAAAAGAGAAAAGCATTTTTTAAATCATTATCACTTTTTTCTCTTGTAGATATTCTCAAATTTCCTTCCAAGCGCAATTTAAATAAAACATTTTTTCCCAACTATAGTGACAAAAGAAATAATCTGTAGCCAAATACAATAAAGAAAATAATATATATATTTAACCTTTCTGACCTTTAGAGTATTTTAGGGATGAAAAATTTTTCAGAATTTAAAAAATAACTTTGAAACAAAAATGTTCCAGATTTGATGACTTTACTTTGATGTTAACTTAACAAAAGCTCAAATATGTAGTAAAATCAAAACAGTCAACTCAAGTTACAAAATTTACCTTAGCAATATTTAAGTGACCAATATTTAATCAGATTTTTCAGTCTTTCTTTATGTCCCTTTAATTCTAAACCTTTCTGTACATAATTTGTGCCTAATTAGTCTTTATCCAGTTACTATATGGAAAAATTAATTTTATACTAATACCTTAAACTGGGACTCTATCCCTACAGTTAAAAACCTAGTTGAAGGTAGCAAAAATCTGACTTTAATTGTCTGGAACAACAATTTGTAGGAAGCTCTATCATGCCTAACCACCAGGAGGAAAAAAGGGGAAAGTCATGCCAGGAGACCACAAATGCTAATTAACAAAAATCATGGCAGGTTTGAATTCAAAATGTGTGGTTTTCACTTATATATTTCACGGGTCTTCCATTTCTCTAAATTTACCACCCATATAATACAGCTATTTTTATAGGGACTTCACCCTTTAGATTTAGGAAACATTAATATTTGGGGCAAATAATTATTTAAAATTATAGGTGAATATTAGCAATTACAAATGAGTATTAGCATATGATAAAACTAAAAGTTTAACAATAACTATAATAGGCTATTAAGAAAACTACCTCCTATAAAAGATCTACCTTTTAAAGTACAGTTTTGTATATGGTACAGAATACACATTTGGTTAGATAACAATATTCTAATTATATGGCTATTAGAAAAATAATAAAAATCTTGAAAATAAGATTTTAAATTACTTCAGTAAACCATGCCTTTACCTTCTTTTAAGTACTAAAATATCATGAAAACCTTACTGAAACACTTGGTCTTTTTCTAAAACTGCAATCTTTTGAAATATGCCCAATTCTTCCAAAGTGAAAACCCCAAATAAACATTTAGGATATAAATGGTCCAATTGGTTTGATGAAAATTCAATCACAAAAACCTCCGACTAAAACTAAAATAATTAAATATCTTTCAAGCTTACAGCTCCACAGTGAAAATGTATAGCCTTTGTCGTAACTCCTTTGATATTATTTTATCAAGATTAGTCAGACTGGCAAATCTGTGAAAACATTTCTTTAAAGTCAACTTAGTTTACAGCAATTAGAATCATGAGAGATTTCACAACTTTTCTGGCTATTGGGCTTTAAAGACATAATTTAATTCAATAAGTGTGATTAGCACATTAGTTCCAATTCAATTAAGAAAACACTAGTTTAATAATATATCTTAGGCTTTATGGGGGTTTTTTATAAGGGAAGAAGGGACCAGGTGGAGTAGATTAGCAAAACAAAGTCTTATTCTCATGTCTCTATAAATTCAACCCCCCAAGACTTACTTTCTTTACTCTTAAAATGGCTACCACCTTGATCTATTATGCAAAAGCAAAAATGTACAGCATACGACCATCAAAAAGAAATCTGGTTCTTTTGACAGTGTATGCCCTCCTCCCGCACCAAAAAAAAACTTTTGAAGATTCCCATTCCTCCTTCACTGTTCAGACAAAATGAGCATTAAATAAGTACACAAAGTTCGTTAATTACAGTATGAAAGCAATCTATATAACCCAGATCAAGCCATCTTTCCTATAATGTCTGACTAGGAAAAGCAGGTAACAGTATCTTTCACAGACTACAATAAACACAGTAGAACTGAAAAGGATTGTCCAGTCTAGTAAGGGAGGAACAAATGTGGGAACCACACCCCTCCCAAGAGAAGATGGTAAGGATTTTAGTAATTCAAAAGAATAGATTAATTGTTATATGGGTTAGCAAGTTAAGTTTCTGTTCAAAATTAATCTTTAAAAAAGCATTTTATAAATAACAAAACCACTTAGTGCTCCCAAACCTATTCTTAATGCTCAGTAACTATTCTTTCAAATGTTTACATATTACTTACACCATTTCCTATCCACTCTGAAACCATTCCATAACACTCCTGCTCTAGAAAACATCACAAAGATGAATTTTCACATACAAAAGTGAAAAAATATATAATGCTTTAGACTAATTAGTGCATATATATATATTTATATACACATAGCTACTAAATAAACTCTGAATCTGTTGAATGTCTGCAGAAATAGGGCATGATCTTACCTCTCATCCTCTCCATCCACCAGGGGTGTCGTCAGCGGTAGCACCTTCAACGGGAAAAGAGAAGCAGAGGCTGCTAGGCTGCTGCTACTCCCATCTGAAACTGCTGACATTCCCCCACTGTCACCACTGATAGTCTGAGGTAAGCCAACTAAAGAGGGTTCCGCTGGGCGCCTGGCATCTTCAATTTGGCTTCCAATTGCCTGAGCTAATGATTGTGCAGAGAACTGAGAACTTAGTGATATCTGTTGTGCCAAAGGCAAATTTATATTAGTTGCTATCAAGGGAGGTTGACTAACACTTTGAACCACACTACCATTTTGAGTGGCAGGGGTTTGTGCTATATTCTGTGGTGGAACCAAGTTTGTTGGAACAGAAGGCATTGCAGAAGGACCAGCTGAACTAACCTGATTTGTAACAGAAATACTACTAGCAGAGGGTACAGGACTAACTGCAGGCAACTGCTGTGAGACAACTCCTTGAGCTACTGATTCTACTCCTTGTGGCTGGGGAGGCACAGTTAACAATGTACTTTGGGGTGCAATGACCAATTGTTGAGGAAGGCTTGAAGCACTAGTTTGAATTCCCTGATGAATAACCGCAGTTTGAGCAGGTGGAATTATTTGTGAAGATGGAGGAGCACCTTGCTGAACAACTGAAGGTGTGACTTGGGAAGAGACCTGCTGCATTGCAGTGGGTACATTTGCTTGTTGAACAATATTTGCAACTTGACTGCCAGTAGGTACAGCAGATACTGCTGTTTGAACCTGGCCAACAGGCTGGCCAGATGCCCCTGCAGGTTGTGCTTGGACTGCTGGGGGCTGCACTGGCAACTGGATACTCTGTGGCTGAACCATAGGAATCAACGTGGTTCCTCCTCCCACTCCTGCAGAACTGGGCTGACCAGAGGGCACTGCTGTTTGAAGAATCGGCTGCTGCTGTACATACTCCGAAGTAGGAATTTGAGTCACTGGTTTACCATGACCTGGGGCCATCTGTGTGGAAACAATCGATTGTTGTCCATATTGTAACTGCTGGGGTGGTGCCCCTGGAAGGGGAGCTTGCACAGGAGGAGCCGTCTGAGAATATGGCAGTTGGGGTTGAGCCAAACTAGAAATGGAAGGCTGCTGACCTAAAGCTGAAGTTACCCCAACAACATTAACAGGTGATGGTTGGACACCAGTTGCAGCATTGATAGTGGCTTGTAGAGGTACTGGTTGAACACCTTGCTTTTGTTGATAGCTCAGTTCTTGAGGCTGTAATTGTACTTGTGAGATCTGTGACTGAGAAACAGTCTGTGACATACTAACTGCCGGAACACTCTGTGGACCAGTGCTACTGAAATCCATCTGCTGAAGGGCCACACCTTGAAGAGCTGGTTGTGGCTGCTGCTGCTGCTGCTGCACCACCACAGTAGGGGCTCCCATCTCTCCACTTCCCACACTCTCTGTGTAGTGACTCAGTGTGCTGACACTACTGCTCACGGAACTCCCACTAGTGCTCTCCCTCTCAGAAGTCACTTCTATTGGGTTTTGTTTTACAGTTTCCACCACTTTATTTATAACCACACCTTCTGTAACAGGTACAGCATTTTCTTTCTCATAGAACTCAGTGCAAGTCCATCTACCTTTCTTAAAGGGTTCAGAACTAGCATCTAACTTCACAACTCTGAACCTTGAAGTGTTAACTGTTGGTTGTTGCTGCTGACTTGAAATTGATCCCACAGTCATCCCTGCAGCTGCATTAGGGACACTGTTAACAACAGCCGAGGAAGAAATAGTACCATTGCCCATGCCACTTAAGATATTCACATTAACACTGCTGTTAACTCCAGGCCCAACACTCCCGCTAGCAGCACTAGGAATATTGCTTGTATTTATATTAGCATTATCAAGCACGCTGCTTGTCACATTAGGATTAAAACTATCCACAGCAGTAATGTTAACATTATTCACTGCATTAGTGCCAGCAACAGAATTTATACCTATACTGCCGGTAGTACTGGGAGCCTGGATATTAGTCATTACGGATGCAGGTGAGCCACCCGATGATACAGCAGAAGTTGGTGCAGCTGGTATAACACTGTCAGAGCTCCCAGCTGTAGAGAGTTTTCTGGAGAGTGGGCTTGAGGGTGGCCCTCCAGGAATGGATGTACTGGCCACACCTGCATGGGAAGGATGGTGGTGCCCATGGTGGAGGTGGTGCCCATGATGAACGTGATGGTGGTGATGGAGGTGATGTGGATGAGCATTCCCGTTGATCACAACATTTTGTTGTGGAAGGTGAGGCAAATGAGGCTGAGGAAGGTGGGGCTGGTTGGGAGAGACTGCCCCAGGTGTCTCAGCTTCCTGGAAGTTATTTAGTGTCTCTTTAGTGTCTCTTCTGAGGAGCTACGTTCAGGTTCTCCTAAGTCAGTAGCCCTGGAAAGGGACACATCAAGGATCTCGGAAGACGACAGATCTTCCGTGTGAGACTCATCCAAATCGTCATAGCTCTCAGTGTCCTCCGCTATACTGTTGTTAGAGCTGATGCTGGCAGAGATCTGAGCCGGGGTCACGCTAGTGATCTGGAAGCCACTTTTCTTTTTCATCTGAGTTCCGCCTGGTGCAAGAGGCTGTGTCTGTAGCTGAGCCTGCGAAAGGAGGTTCAGGCTTTGTGGAGGCGGAGGCTGTGGTCCCAACGCACAAGATGCGGCAGGAGGTGGCGGCTGGAGCAGCGACGGGGGCGGAAAATCCTCGGAAGATGTGGCATGACTACCAACGCCGGTACCTGCTGCATTGAGGGCAGAGGCGCTGCCGCTGCCGCTGCCCCTTCTAGGGAACATTGCCGGGTGCGCCATCTTCCTAGCACTCATGTCTGCAGCGGCCGCGGCGGCGGCGGACTCAGGCGGCTGATGCATTGTGTCGGGTACGGGGGGCGGAGGAGGCGAGTGCAATTTCCTTCTGCACGGTAATCTTTGTATTCAAGACGCCGGGAAGGAAAGCGGGCCCGACGCTCCGCCCGGCGTGATCCCTCCTTCTCCTCCTCCTCCTCCTCCTCCGCCGCAGGCGCCGGCCGCTCCTGCCTTCGAGGGCGAGCTTCGGGAAGGGAGGATGAACGAGGGTGAACAGGGCGGGCGGGGACCCGAAGGGGGCACCCCCTCAGTCCTTCACCATTCAATTTCCCCTCTAGCCTCACACCCCCCTTTATATTCCGCCTCACGTGGGGTGCGGGGACAGGAGGGAGGGGGAGAACAGGGGCGGGGGAGACAGGAGAGGG